ATCGTGCAGCGGGCAGGCTACGACTTGGTTGCCATCACGGAAACGTGGTGGGACCACTCTCATGACTGGAGTGCTGCAATGCCTGGCTATAGGCTCTTCAGAAGGGACAGGCAGCACAGAAGGGGTGGTGGTGTGGCTCTCTATATTAGAGAGTCTTTCGATGTTGTAGAACTCGAGGCTAGGAATGACAAGGTCAAGTCCCTTTGGGTTAGGATCGGCAGGGACAACAAGGCTAGTGTCCTGGTCTGGGTCTGCTATAGACCGCCGAACCAGGATGAGGAAACGGATGAGGAGTTCTACAGGCAGCTGACAGAAGTTGCAAAATCTTCAGCGCTTGTACTCGTGGGGGACTTCAACTTCCCTGACATATCCTGGAAGCACAACACAGCCCAGAGAAAGCAGTCTAGGAGGTTTCTGGAGAGAGTGGAAGATAGCTTCCTGACGCAGCTGATTAGTGAACCTAACAGGGGTGGTGCCCCACTAGACCTTCTGTTCACAAACAGAGAAGGACTGGTGGAGGATGTGATTGTCGGGAGCTGTCTTGGGCAGAGTGACCACGAAATGGTGGAGTTCTCTATTCTTGGCGAGGCCAGGAAGGGGACCAGTAAAACCGCTGTATTGGACTTCCGGAGGGCTGACTTTGGGCTGCTCAGGACACTAGTTGGTGGAGTCCCTTGGGAGGCGGTTCTGAAGGGCAGAGGGGTCCAGGAAGGCTGGGCGCTCTTCAAGAGGGAAATCCTAATGGCACAGGAGCGGTCTGTCCCCATGTGCCCAAAGATGAGCTGGCGGGGAAGAAGACCAGCCTGGCTCAACAGAGAACTGTGGCTTGAGCTTAGGAGAAAAAAGAGGGTTTATAATCTTTGGAAAAGTGGGCAGGCCACTAGGGAGGACTATAAGGATGTTGCGAGGCTGTGCAGGGACAAAATTAGGAAGGCCAAAGCTCATCTGGAGCTCAATCTGGCTACTGCCGTTAAAGATAACAAAAAACGCTTTTATAAATACATCAACACAAAAAGGAGGACTAAGGAGAATCTCCATCCTTTACTGGATGCGGGGGGAAACTTAGTTACAAGAGATGAGGAAAAGGCGGAGGTGCTCAATGCCTTCTTTGCCTCAGTCTTTAGCGGCAATACCAGTTGTTCTCTGGATACCCAGTACCCTGAGCTGGTGGAAGGGGATGGGGAGCAGGATGTGGCCCTCACCATCCACGAAGAACTGGTTGGTGACCTGCTACGGCACTTGGATGTGCACAAGTCGATGGGGCCGGATGGGATCCACCCAAGGGTACTGAGAGAACTGGCAGAGGAGCTGGCCAAGCCACTATCCATCATTTATCAGCAGTCCTGGCTATCGGGGGAGGTCCCAGCTGACTGGCGGCTAGCAAATGTGATGCCCATCTACAAGAAGGGCCGGAGGGCTGACCCAGGGAACTACAGGCCTGTCAGTTTGACCTCAGTGCCAGGGAAGCTCATGGAGCAGATCCTCTTGGGAGTCATCATGCGGCACTTGAAGGGCAAGCAGGCGATCAGGCCCAGTCAGCATGGGTTTATGGAAGGCAGGTCCTGCTTGACGAACCTGATCTCCTTCTATGACAAAGTGACGCGCTGGGTGGATGAGGGAAAGGCTGTGGATGTGGTCAACCTTGACTTCAGCAAGGCTTTTGACACCGTCTCCCACAGCATTCTCCTCAAGAAACTGGCTGCTCTTGGCTTGGACTGGCGCACGCTTCGTTGGGTTAGGAACTGGCTGGATAGCCGGGCCCAAAGAGTTGTGGTAAATGGAGTCAAGTCCAGTTGGAGGCCACTCACTAGTGGCGTCCCCCAGGGCTCGGTGCTGGAGCCGGTCCTCTTTAACATCTTCATCAATGATCTGGACGAGGGCACTGAGTGCACCCTCAGTAAGTTTGCAGATGACACCAAGTTAGGTGCGTGTGTCGATCTGCTTGAGGGTAGGAAGGCTCTGCAGCAGGATCTGGATAGGCTGCACCGATGGGCTGAGGTCAACTGTATGAAGTTCAACAAGGCCAAGTGCCGGGTCCTGCACCTGGGGCGCAATAACCCCAAGCAGAGCTACAGGCTGGGAGATGAGTGGTTGGAGAGCTGCCAGGCAGAGAAGGACCTGGGAGTGATGGTGGACAGTCAGCTGAATATGAGCCAGCAGTGTGCTCAGGTGGCCAAGAAGGCCAACGGCATCCTGGCTTGTATCAGAAACAGCGTGACCAGCAGGGCTAGGGAGGTGATCGTCCCCCTGTACTCGGCTCTGGTGAGGCCGCACCTCAAGTACTGTGTTCAGTTTTGGGCCCCTCGCTACAAGAAGGACATCGAGGTGCTTGAGCGGATCCAAAGAAGGGCGACGAAGCTGGTGAGGGGCCTGGAGAACAAGTCCTATGAGGAGCGGCTGAAGGAGCTGGGCTTGTTCAGCCTGGAGAACAGGAGGCTCAGGGGCGACCTTATCGCTCTCTACAGATACCTTAAAGGAGGCTGTAGAGAGGTGGGGGTTGGCCTGTTCTCCCACGTGCCTGGTGACAGGACAAGGGGGAATGGGCTAAAGTTGCGCCAGGGGAGTTTTAGGTTAGATGTTAGGAAGAATTTCTTTACTGAAAGGGTTGTTAGGCACTGGAACAGGCTGCCCAGGGAGGTGGTGGAGTCACCATCCCTGGAAGTCTTTAAAAGACGTTTAGATATAGAGCTTAGGGATATGGTTTAGTGGGGACTGTTAGTGTAGGTCAGAGGTTGGACTCGATGATCCTGAGGTCTCTTCCAACCTAGAAATTCTGTGATTCTGTGATTCTGTAAGGTATTGAGGAGTACATATCATAAAGACTGGGAAGAAAAATTTTCGTATTAATTAAAAGAATTTACTAGTTTTTCCAGAAAAGGGGGGAATGATATTGTATAAACTCACTTTAGGATAGAATAAATCTTGTAGATAAAATATAATGAGAACAAAATATATGACATCTTGTTATCTGTCGACCTTCTGTTATGTTGAAGCATCTTGTTAATTGAAACATCCTGCTATCTGTCGACCTTCAGTTATGCTGAAACTTGAGCTAACTTGAGCTAACTCAGCATTCCTGCGGCTTGGAAAACAACTGATTCAGCCAACTTGGCATTCTTTAGCAAAAGGTGAAAAGTACATCATGAGGAAGACCTATGGTACATCATGAGGAAGACCTACGGTCTTCCTCCCAAAGACCACTGCCCACGTCCCGAAGACCCCGGCCAACAATTCTTGGGAAGCTTTGCGCAAGCGCAAGGACTGATAAGCTAATTAGCATACGAAGTGAGAGTAGGCGGGTTTAGGTAATGAATACTTATAGGTGTTAATAGAATATTCATTGTTTTGCTGTACAAATATGAGATAGTTTGTCACTTCAAACATGAACGTTAGGTGGAAGGATTCCCCGTGCATCCAGCGCTGACAATAAAGGATACTTCGTCACTTAGAAATTTCAGCTTCGTTCTTTGAATCGGGGACTCTGCAACTAAAAACGACAAGGTTGCAGCGGGATTGCTCGGCACCTGGCGAGCAGTCTCTGAGGCCTTAAAGAGCCATGTGGGGCCACAATCAGAAACGTGTGGTTTGCCAGATAGTGAGGGAGCTGCGGGCTCCTTTACTGATCCGACTACTACGCCATTGGCCCCTCTGCTGCTACAGCAATCGAAGGGTTTTGCTGTTACGCCCCCTGCTGACCTGGATGTGCTTTTTGACCCAGGCCCTATTGGCCTTGAAAAGGAGATGGATATGCTTTTCTTCAATCCGAAAAGAACGGGGTACATAAGGCCTGAAGACCGAGTTGCTCGACAACTTAAAGCAAGACATATTGTTCAAAAGGAATGGAAAATGGAGACTTGTTTGTAATCAAGAAAAGGAATGGAAAATGGAGACTGTTAACTCATGGAACTTAAAGGATTGTTTGTTACCTTTTCTGATTGTATAGTGTAAGAAACACTCCGTAGCCAATAACTTAGGCTCAGGCGAGGATCTCAGTGAAGTAGTAATTTATTCGTGATTGCAATGGCGGGCACCCCACAGGCAGGAGAGAGCGCGTCTACTAGTTCCAAAACACAGTTTATATACCTTTTGATGACAGGACCCTCCCCTGTTTCCCCACTGAGTGGGTAATCCAAGTTCACAATCTATCTGATGCTTCACAAACAATGCATGGCCTTCAGTTGCTGGCCTGTTAAATTTCAATTTTCTTTTGACATTTTTACTGCTTGAAGTGGTAATGTTTCTTCACTTATCTGACTTGACACCGTGATTGTCCTAAGGAGTCTGGTTGTCTGCATTTTGCAAGGTCGCCTGCTAAGCTTTCTTATCACTGTAAGCATATCTCAGTACCACATTCCCTCCTTCTAAACAATGTAACTCTGCAAAAACAACATTTATATTCCTACAATAGGCATACTAGGGTTTAGTATATAAAAGCAATGTTCTATATATTTAGAATGTTTGAAGTTCATGTGTGCGTGTTGATGGAGCGTAGACTCCCCGCATACCCAGTGCTGTTTACTTGCCATTTATACCTTTTATAAATATTACTAAATTCAGATTGAGTTGATACTTCATTTATAACAAGACTAACCTTGGTAAGGGGTCCAAGGCTTCTTGCTTTAGTTAATTTGCACAATGTACTATAGTTAGCAAAGACATTAAGCAGCATCCCTGAGTTTGATACTGTCAGCGCTCTCTATCTGTATTTGCTAAGATTCTCCTAACTCCCTCTCTCAACAGAACCCTTTATTCCTAAACAGGTTGCTCTCCTTTCACTCCCCATGTTCACCATCTGCACTAAGGCAGCGGGGGGCCGGCAGCGGGGGGCCGGCAGCGGGGCTCAGCGGCTCCCTGAGGGGGCCACTGCTCTGAGCCCCGGCGAGGGCCGGCCCCGACCCCAGTCCCCCCACGTCCAGGCCCGAGGCCTGGGGCCGCTCCCCCATAGTCGGCCTCCGCCACGGCGAGGCGCTGCGGGGCGGCGGCCGCTCTGCGCGGCGCTCGCCTGCTCCGACTGCGGAAGTGACGGCGGGCGGCGGAGCCCTGCGGCCTCCGGGGACATTTTCTCCGGCTTCGGGGCTGCAGTGGAGCTCTCGGCTCCTCCCGGTCGTCCATGCCCCAGCCGCTGCCCTCCGAGGAGGAGGCCAGGAGGGGCCCTCAGCGCCTGGGTGAGTGCGGGCAGAGCGGCCGGGCTCGGCCGCTGTCTCTGTTGTCGCCGACGTTACACCGTGTCTCGTCCCGGTGTCGCCCCCGAGGGGTTACGGGCGTTGTGCCCCGGGGGTGATTTGGGGGAAAAAAGCACGACTTTTGGAGGCGGAGGTTTGGGGCTGCACGCCCTGCCGTTGCTGTGCGTTGCCTCGTTTTCCTTGGTGGTGTGGGAGAGGGTGTTTTTTGGGGAAAAGTTGTGGTGTCATCGCTCACCCAGCCTGAGTTGGCTCATGAGGCGTAGCGGGTGCAGCTGTGGCTTTGAGCAAGGAGAATATGAAGTTTAACTCTGTCACTTGTTCCTCTTTAAATAAAAAGAGGGACAGACCGAGCAGCTTGCAGCAGCCAAGCACTTTCCCCAGTTTCAGTATCACAGCTTTGCATTGAGGCTATCAGGCAAACACCTATGAGGCTGCTCTGGAAAGTCTCCCCTCTTTTTTTTTTGTGTGGCTGTACGGTTGGTAGGGAGCTTTCAGCCTTGCTTGGCAGCTCCTTGTTGTGCTTACATCTTGATTTGTTCATGGTGGGATCCGGCTGCGCGTGTTGATGTCTGTAGGTATCTTTGTGAAGCCCTAACTGCGATAGCTGAGTTAAATGAGGTCTTGCTTGCACCTCCGTGCATGCTTTAAACCAGCACAAAGTACCTTGCTGCACCTCAAAGGCTGTAACAACTTGGATGTGGAGAGGCTATGGCATAAGTGTAAGTCCTGTTGTTTGTGGTTTGTTTTTTTTTTTTGGTGGTGGTGTTTTTTTTGTTTGTTTGTTTTTTTTTTTTTACTGTCTTGTAATTCTGGCTTTTAAAAATGAATGAACAGTAAAGCTTTGAACCCGTAATTGTCTCCTTAAAAATGTAAGTTTTCTCTTAAACACCTCCTCTCCAAGTAGATTTTACTTGTTTTTAAGTCTTTTCTGGTACTTGTCAAGCATGAGGCCAAATAGCAGTCGCACAGGATAGGATGCTTACAGTTTTCAAGCTAAAAACTTTATTATCTGTCTCCTTAGAACAGCAGGCAAACATTTACAATTAAAATGTTTGTCTTAAAGTATATTAAGTTGCCTAAATCAATTAATAAGCTTAAGGTCTGACCTTGGTAATATATTGTGCGCTCCAAGAAAGTGGAAACTGGGTATGGTGCTCCTTTGAGGTGTTCATTGTGTGGTCTTCCTGCCTCTCTTCACTCTTGTAATCGCTGTTTCTGATAGAGCTGGAGTCAGGCAGTGCAGCTTCCCCTGCTGCCCTGGAGGAGGGAAAGCTGCCTTTGTGGAGGGAATAAGTCTGTAACTACCTCTAAGGAGAACAATAAGTTGCTCATGAGGTATATTTGCTAAACCCAAATGCCTCACCTGGAGTTCAGATTACAGGTAAACACTGAAAGCTAATAAAAAGTTGCTTTCTGTGGTTCTGGAATACCAGCAAGGTTGGTATTTTGTCTGGGTGGCTAGGAGGAGGGACGGAGGTGCGGAAAACAGTACGTGAGTATAGGCAGCTGGTATTTGTGCTCAAGTATGAGAATAACACTTCTGACTCATTTTTAAGCACTTGAATTTTTAATTATAATGTGTTGACTATTTCTGTTTGCACTTCAAGCTAATTGCTAGTTGGCTAGCATATAAGCTTCACAAAGAGGAGTGATGAGAAATTCCTGAGAAATCAGGAAGAGGAAAAGACTCTTTCCTCACATGGTCTCGCACACAATGTGTGTTGTGGCACAGCCTGGCCCTCTGTGCTTGCACAAAGGCTGCCCGCTTGGTAAAACCCGAAGCACGCAAAAAATGAGTTGGGAAATAAGTGGTTGCATCGAGCTGGGTACCACGAGGGGGAAGCAAAAAGGGAAGAAACCTGAAGCTGACTGCAAGGCAGTTAGGAACGGTAAATACATGGTGGTCACAACACATGCAAGCTGAGCTGTGCTGTAATCAATAACGGAGGGGTAGGAAGGATGTCTGCGTGCGTCTGGCAAACGGGCAGATCCAGATCGCGCAGGCAGCTGACAGTGTGGAGGAGGTGGGGATTAATGAGGTAAGATAAGATTGGATGAGCAAAGAGTAAATATAGAGAATCATGAGAGGCTTTGAATGCTAAGCGTTAGGGAGATAAGTTGGTGTAACTTGATCAGAACAACACGAAATAATTGCCTCATTTTTCATCACCGCCCGTCTCCTTGCTGGGTGTTTACATTTAAAGTGCAGGCTTTTTCACCTTGCCTCCAAGGCCAGAACCAATTTTGTTCACTTTCTTCGCTATTTCTTAGGTATGATCCCATCATCTCCCTGCTCCATCAAGGATGCTTGTGCCATTTGTGACCCATTTGGATATCAGCATCTCACTTACACATCTGTTACTGAGGTGGGAGCCTCCACACGCTGTGTTGAGGTGGCTTCAGTCTGTGTGAGCTGTCTGGTTACACTCTGGCCAAAACATTAACACTAAAAATGTTGAAAGCTTGGAAACTTTTCACATGAGTAAATTGTTCTAAGCAACCTGTGTCTTTTCTCTGTAACGTCTCAAAGGTAAGCGTTGACAGAAACTGGGCAGCAGGCTCAATAACACGCTCACTAGATCAAAGTGAAAGATTTTGGTACTGTAGCAGCAAACACATAATGCACTTCAGAAGAGTCACTCCTGGGAAAAAGTACCAGTACTTAAAAAGCGTTTGCTTACTTGTGCATTGTGGGTAGCAGTGGGAAACCAAAAATGAAACTGCAGCGGGAGAGCAGGATGGGCTCGGGGCTGGGAAAGAGCTCTGGGACGAAGAAGTGCTGCTGCACAATTACAACTCTGAGACTGCAGCTCAGGCTGTGTTCAGGACAGCAAGGAAACCACTTCTGGCTCAGTTTTCCAGCATACAAATCTGAGCTCAGTGGAGAACTGGTGCTCGTGCTTTTGACTTCAGTGCTGTAGCTGCAGGGCAGCTGAGCTGTTACGGCACCGGGATCTGCTGCAGCGAAAACTACTGCTTTGAGTCTGCAAATTGGGAACTAGGATGTAACTGCTACAAATGGGCAGTTCTGAGGGAAAAAAGAATCACAGAATCACAGAATTTCTAGGTTGGAAGAGACCTCAAGATCATCGAGTCCAACCTCTAACCTAACACTAACAGTCCCCACTAAACCATATCCCTAAGCTCTACATCTAAACGTCTGTTGAAGACTTCCAGGGATGGTGACTCCACCACCTCCCTGGGCAGCCCGTTCCAGTGCCTCACAACCCTTTCAGTAAAGAAATTCTTCCTAACATCTAACCTAAAACTCCCCTGGCGTAACTTTAGCCCATTCCCCCTCGTCCTGTCACCAGGCACATGGGAGAACAGGCCAACCCCCACCTCTCTACAGCCTCCTTTAATGTACTTATACAGAGCAATAAGGTCACCCCTGAGCCTCCTCTTCTCTAGGCTGAACAGGCCCAGCTCCTTCAGCCGAGGGAGAAAGAAACGGAACAATATCTGTCAAGTTTGTTTGTTTTTTTTTTTTAAAGTACAGATTTGGATATAGAATAAATGTAAGCCTCTGCAGTTGCTTTATCCCAAGAGTCCATCTCTGAACTTTTCTGGAGTGACTGATACGGTGTCACTCGCCCAGTTACTGTGAAGAGTTATAATTGAAATTTGTGGTTGCTTGTTCGCACTTGTTTCTGTTCCCCCTTCACATGGCTGATAAGCAGGAGTAGAGCTGACATGGTATAGTAATTTCTGCACAGATGTGACTTTGTTTCTGCAGTTGAGGCACACGCCGATTACTCATTCAGGACTGGAAATGAGATGCAGCTCAGTAGCTGAGGTGTTGCTGTTACACTGCTGCAGATGCATTACTGAATGCACAGGGAAGTCAAGTAATGTGGCTGTGGCGAGTCATCTTTAGATTCAGAGTGATCCAACGTAATGCACCTTTTTATTTAAGAAAGCATTTTTAATCAATTTTAACACAAAGCCTGCCTCTTGAATGTTCAGAAATGGGATTTAATTAGCAAAATAGTGTACAGGCATTGGCCATATCACACCTTATGATACTCATCTCCCAGAAGACAGCTAAAAGCTGTTAGGTCTCAAGTTGGGAGCTTTTAAACCATAAGAAGAACAGGTGGATGCTTCAATTAAATGTAGGTAGTTAAGATTCAAGCTAGTATTTTTGTTTCAGTATGCTTGGATCATAGCTTTGACTTCATAGTGAGACTTCTGCAGTGTCCTGCAGGATGCTCTTCTGCTTTCATGCTTTAGAATTTCCTGAAAGTGAGCAGGCAGAGACTGACTGTGGTTGGATAATGTTCTTGTCATGTTTCTTCTGTAATGTCTTGTCTCACAGTGCTTGGTCATTAGTCTTCCAAGACTATTTTGGAGAAAGCAGATTTCACTTCCATTCATTCAAAATTGATAGAGACCAAGAAACTCTCAGTAGCAGAGCTGGGAATAGCTAAGAGCCAGACTTTGCAATGCCAGTTGTCTGTGAGTAGTTTCTACGATTTCAGTAATTTATTTTTCATTGGGAATATTATATTTCCATGATAGCAGTTCGCACCGTATGCTCCAACAGTTCTGTCAAACTTGCTGAATTAAAAAGAAGCAACTTAATGTGATAGCCAGATAAGATAACACGGTTCTCCTTTACCCTGGTTTCTAATTAGCTAGAAATCTGACTCCTTAGTTTACTTTGCCAATTCTTGCTCTGGGAATCACAGAATTGTAGGGGTTGGAAGGGACCTCAAGAAATCATCGGGTCAACCCCCCTGTTAAAGCAGGTTCCCTAGAGCAGGCTGCCTGGGTAGGCATCCAGATGGGTCTTCAATATCTCCAGAGAAGGAGACTCCACAACCTCCCTGGGCAGCCTGTTCCAGTGCTCCATCACCCTCACCGTGAAGTTCTTTCGCGTGTCAGTGCAGAACTTCCTGTGATCCACCTTGTGGCCACTGCCCCTTGTCCTGTCCCCACAAACAACTGAAAAGAGGTTGGCCAAATCCCTCTGTCTCCCA